TATAGGTTTATTGTAATAAAGTTTCTACTATGACATTATATTAATAAAAAAAAAAAAAAAAAAAAAAAAAAAAAAATAATCTCCCACACCTTTTAATAATAAAAAGAACAAAGCTCTCTGTGATTTTAAATTTTTTAAAAATCATAAATTATTATTTTTCTTTATATTTACCTAGACCGTATATCTAAAAAATAAAAGTTTATATATTATTGCTTTAATATTGTGCATTATGTCAACTCGTCAACATGTTAGTCTTACTGCTATACAAAAGTGTAGCCTTTGTGAACAGAAAGAACAAAACCCACACCTTACCTATAATGAACTAGCAAAAATTTATCAGATTGGCAGATTAACTATATTTGATATCTTAAAAGAAAAAACGTGATGGCTTTCTATTTTAGGTGTTGAACTAGAAAAAAAAAGTTTCGCAGACCAAAATGGTTAAAATTAAAAGATGCACTTGGTCTATGGGTTGAAAATACACTTACAAGTAACTAGGATATTGATGGTAACATTCTTAAAGCAAAGATAGTATTTTTTGCAGAAAAGTTAAATATTGATAACTTTAAACAATCTGAAGGTTGGTTAAGTGGCTTTAAAAAATGTTGTAGTTTTTGTTTATTTAAAAAACATAGAGAATCTGCTAGTGCCCCCTCTGAAGAATCACTGGCTAATGATCATATCAAATTACAAGAAATTCTTTGTACCTATGAACTTGAAGATATCTGAAACAGAGATAAGACTGGTCTTTTTTGAAAAATAAAACCTTCACGAGTATTAGCATATTCACCAATTGCTAGTTATAAAAAAGAAAAAGCAGAGTTATAATTTTTTGTACTATAAATACTGCTGAAACTGAAAAAATGAAACTTACTTTTATTTAACAATATAAAACACCACATACAATGAAGAACTTGAATTATGATAATCTTCCTGTTTATTATTTCTGGAATAAAAAAGCATGGATGCAGGTTAGTATTTTTAACAACATTCTTCTTAAACTAAACACCAAAATAAAAAGACAAAATCAAAACATTATCTTATTGGTCAACAATGCCATAGTATATATTGTTTTTGATGAAATGCAGAAGGAACTTAGTAATGTAAGAGTTGAATTTTTGCCTAAAAATACTATGGCATTTCTTCAACTATGTGATACTGGGATCATTAATTCATTCAAATGCAAGTATAAGCAGCTTTTTGTTCAAAATTGAATAAATGCATATGATAATTTGCAAGATGGTATCATAAATGAGCTTTTAGAATATAATATCTATCATACACTAATTAATGCTGCAGAGACATGGTCAATGGTATCGTCTAAAACAATCATTAATTGTTAGAAAAAAACTAATATTCTTCCAATTTAAGAAGCAAAAATACAAGAAATCAATTATAAATACGATCAGTATAACATTGAAAAATTTTTTAGAGATAAAGATAAACTTGAAATTTTGATTAATCAGTTACCTAAAAATGATTATTTAAGTGCCTCCGAATACATTTGTATTGAAGATACAGTTGTTGTGGGAAGTCTTACAGATGATAATATATTGGAAGCAGTTGCTGATAATGCTGAGGATGAAGTTAAGCAACTTATTAGTGAAATAAAGGAGAAGGTGAATTATACTGAAGCAGAGATAGCAGTTGACACAGTTTTGAGATTCTTATATGAATAAGGAGAAGAGTTTGGCGAAGTTGAAGAAGAGACAAAAATTTTAAGAAAATTATATAGAAAAGTTAAATTATTCTGTGTAAAAAATCTTAAGCAATTAGATCTTCATTATTTTATATCTAAATAAATTGAATATATCACGTAAGTATATTATAGACAAATTTCAAAATTTTGTAACACTTATACATACAAACCTACTAAAAGTTTCTTGTAATCTCTAAAAAACAGATATGAATACGGTAAAGCTTGACAAATATTAGTAATAAGAGAATCATAAAATATAAACTATAAATTATACTATTATTTTTTTTCACAAGTAGTTGTTTAAAGGAACTATAAATTTTATTAAATTAATATTCAAATACACTGATATAACATATAAATTAAAGTTAGATTATTTTTTTTAATAATAAATGGTGTGAAGTCAATAGAAATAGGACAAATTTATTAGATAAATTTGTCCCATTTCTATTGATTTCATCCCAAACGTAAAAAAAATACAATAATATTTTATAAAAACTATATACCTCTTAATAATCTTGGCTTAAAAGAAAAAGCATTAGAGGTGACAATTTCAAATAAAGCTTGATCAAAGTAAAAAAGTTAGTGCTCTGCAAGAATGCTAACTTTAAATATTAATGAAATCAGCTTGGGGATGAGAGAAAAAAGCTCCAACAAAGATTAAAAAGTGTGAAACATATATCAAAAATATGTTATGTGTTTAGCATATGATTGGCTAAATTTATATACCGAATGTTCAGTATAAAAAGAGAAATATATATTTCGGATTTACTCTATACTGAACAAAATTTGCTAGAATGGCTTGTTCGGTTTAGAGAGAGGTGACTGTATTTGTTTCTTTAATCAAGAGAATTTAATTGAAATATAAATTTAACTTATAACTAATACTTTTTTATTCTATGTTAAAAAAAAAAAATAAAAAAAAATAAAAAATAAAAAATAAGAAGAAGAAGAAGAATAATAATAATAATAATAAGGAGAGTCACAGATATTACATAATATATTTTTAATAGTAATGACCCTCTTCTCCTATGTAAAATATTATTTTAGCCAATCAAAATAAATCTATATAATATATATAATACATATATATATATATATATATATATAGTAGGGTGTGGTGACTTAGTGAAGTGGTGGAGTTGTTACAATTCCAAATGGCAAGTCTAGAGTTCAAATCCCACAGATGATGATTTTGAAAAAACTAGATCTGTATCGGTTAACATTAAGATTATCAGTTGAATCCAGATATTTGTAATCTTGGTTACACCATCTTGAATGGGAGCTTTGGTGCAATAAATCCAGAAAACCAGAGTTACTGAAAACCTGTTTGGCAAGTTCTGAGTTGGGAATAGCAGTGATTTTTGATAGTGCTACAGGAAGACTGAATTTGGAACCAGAGACTAAGACCAGAGAACTGAGCGACCAGGTCCTTAAGTAGGGGGACACACTAGCCAAACTGTCAGCTTACTACCGGAGAAAAAGAACTTGTACTCTGGAAGCATACACCAAGGAGAGGGAGACTATAAGACATCTAGAGCCTGGGCAAACCAACTTTTCCGGGTTGCCAGCTAGAAGTAAGGGAGAGACCGGTAAGGAATCCGGGAAAGAAGGAAGTTGGAATATGGGTACTGGGGTTGTTGTGAACCTTGCAAGAGTAGGAGTATATAAGTAAGAACTAATTAAGAAGGTTGTGGCTTGAGATACAGATCGGGTTATAGCAGTATTCAAAAAGATAGCTTGAGATATGGACCTGGTGGTAGTAGCACAACATGTACTAGTTGGAGAAAAGTTACTGAACATGCAGATGAGTATATGTGTGGGACATGTACCACTCTGTTAGGTTTACCACAAGGATAAATGCCTATGTGGCTAAAGCCTTAGAGTTATTCTACGGTATTGCTAATCTCATTAAGAGTGTTAGGATAAGTGTGTTACAGAAATAGAGCCAGAGAATTTAAATGGGTATCCCCTATAGTTGGGTGTAGGTATAGTAGCTAGTGTGGAATCTAGGGCAAACTACTTAAATAGGTAACCAAAAGTTGCATGTATGGCTAGTCGTACTCTTATTAGTAAAATAATCAGAGAGCTTAAATAGGTAATCTTCTAGTTAGGTTGCAAGTATGGTGGCTAGTGTAGAACCCAAACAGACTACTTAAATTAGATACTAAAAATACACGTGTAGCTAGTTGTATTCTCATAAAATTGATATAATATCGTAACTATCTGAATAAAGCTACATGCCAGGGGCCTAAGTGATCACCTTAATATTTAAAAAAAATATATATATATATATAGTATATATATATATATTTGTTATATATATGCGATCTTACCCGGAAGAGTTAGATTTGAACAACTTTCTAATGCATAATCTAATTATTGCTAACTCTTGCAAAACTATGCAAGCCAGGTATATAGTGAATGCTATAGAAGACAACCCTTCTGTAATATTATTTCCAACATTATTAGCTCCCTATGATCCATACACTACACTATCCTCTTAACAACCTACTTCTCCTACTTATTCTTCATCTGATCATGAACTTTTATCTAATATAGATGATGATCTTGTCGACTTTCAACTTGAAACAATAATACAAGTAACTAAGCAACTTGGCCCTATTGACCCATTAATATGCTACAACAAATTCTTATTTTAATTATTTTTAAAATATCATTTTTACTTTTTCACTTCCTCAAAATAATAGTAGAATAGTAAAAATAAACATATCTAGAAGCGCAGCATCAATATTTGTTTAATTTTAGACAACACAATACTGACTTGTCTTTGGCAAGTCACCGTTTGTATGTTAATTAATATATAAAACAAATAAAAAGATTAAAAAATATAAATAGATAGAATTATCATAAAATCTTCACAAAACTCATATTTTATATTAACTCTTTCTAACAATCCCTTGTACCAAAATTACAACAAACCTTTTTCCAAAAAACAGTAAACTATAAAAGCAAAAATTGGCAGAAGACTGATAAAAACCATAAACTAGCATCTGTTATTTAGAGATAGTTTTTATATACTACCTGCTAACAGGTTTAGAGCTTATCACTTACTGTAGGAATAGCACTTGTTATTTAGAAGTAGTTTTTATACGCTACTTGCTAACAAGTTTAGGGTTTATCACCTACCGACAAGGAAATCAGCAGTTAACCTGGCTTTATACATTCTACTACTTTGAAAAAGAATATATGTTTCTTAAAGAAGAGTATGAGGGTCATATTCTACACTATCACTCATTTGCTTCTCTTACAAAATTTTTATAAAAAGTAGGCAAAACAGCTTATTCTGTCAAAAGATTGGCATTGTTTACTCCTTCTAAATTTGAATGAGTTGGTAGATGCAACTACATGTTTTGTTTGACCATACATATGGTCATAGTGTTACCTTAAAAGATTAGTATATAGATCTAGATCATTTTCAAGGTTGGTCGTATATCAAAAAGAAGTTTTTATATTAAGGCAAAGCTTTACAACAAAGATATACAAGTATTGTATTTAGTATATAATTTTTTAGTTTTGTATACAGGCTTAATAGTGTATATTTTCCTTTTCTTTTTTGCTTCTTTCTTTCTGTTCATTTGTATTTTTTTTGGCTTTTGCTAGTTTCATCTCTGTCTATTTATAATCAAATTCAAGTTAGAAAATTTGTTCTTTTTCTTTTTTGTCTAGTTTTATACCTGTAATTTTCTTTTGTAAATTTAGCATATATTTTCTTTTCTTATGAAAATATAAGAGATAAACTATTTTGCCCAGACTTAGATGGGAAAAGTTAAAGGCCAAAGGTAGCTAAGTACTAGGTTATAGCAAGTTTTTAAATGCATGTAGTAGTGCATGTGAGATTTGTTGGCCAACATCAGTGCAATAACCATACTTGGGCACTTTTATAGCAGCCAGGTATTAGCCGAATAGGATTTTAGATAGTCTAGCAAGTCTAAGCTTACATATATTTAATAAATTTGTTCAAGGTTATCAAAGAAAAAAATAAAATAAAATAAAATCCTTGCAAAATCCTTGCAAAAAAATCTTCACAAAAAATTCTCACAAAAAATTCTTGTAATTCTTACAAATAATAAATACTCTTTTTAAAATTGAAAATAATAATGAATTTCTTGTTTACAAGAAAATTGCAATTATAAATTTCATAATCCTATTAATAAATATTCTGCAATTATTGATTACTATAGATGCCATCATGAAAAAATTTATTCCAATATAAAATCTATATTAAAACTATATTCAAGACCAATTATCGAAAGTATTTTAAAACAAACTCTAAAACTCAAGACTATAATGTAAAACCATACTCAAAAATATATAATATCAAACAATTTACTAATATCAATTTTAAACAAATTACCAATAATGACAAAAGTTCTGAGCAGATTTTAAGAGTTAATCAATATATATATAAGAAGTTGTCTGTTATTGAAAATAGCTTTTCAATTTATTATTTTGGAGATGATAATAAAAAATATATTTTTATATTTGTTAAAAATACAAAACATATCAAATTATTTATTTTTTTCTATAATAATATGATAAAATTATCAAAAATTCTCGAAGAATTTTTGTTTATTTTTATTGGTACTGATAATTCATTTACTATGAAAAAATTTCAAGAGCACTTTGTTTTTACCAAAAATATCAAACATATAAAAATTTTATATAAACAAAATATCATTTTTGAATCTAGCAATTTACTTTTGATGTATTAAAAATATTTAAATACACATTTTTTTCTCTATAAATTAATAAAATTAAAGAATATAAAAATTTAAAATGTTATTAATTTATCAAAAATTTCAAGCATATGATAATTACATGATGAAAAAATTTCGATTTGATAATAAAAAGAATAAAGAAACTTTAGTGATATTGCTTTCTTTATCTGATACACATGAATACGAGCATTATAAATTTTTAAAAGAATGCTTAACAAATTGTTTGAAAAAACCTTTACTAAATATAAATGAAGCAAAAATATTAACAGAAGACGCATTAGATAAGTTGTACAAAAAATTACACCAGATTTGAATTTGGAAGAAATCAAAAATTTAAAAATAAATTTGGTGTTTTAATCTGAAATAAGTATTGCAAATTTTGTAAATCGTGATAATAAAAAGTTTAAAATAAGATTTGATAAATATTAAATAAAAATTATATAAAAACCTGATTTGACTAGATTTTATATATAAATGTGGTGTGATGACTCAATATTGTAAAGTTAAAAACTGTGAAGCAAAGTTATTTAATTTTATTGATCTATTTGATTTTACCA